TCAGGGCCTTGAGCAAGATTGGGAACGAATGTCCAATCATTGACCTATCCTCTCGTTATCGTACAGAATCGGCCCCTAACGGTTAATCAATGCTCACCATCAAAATAGTCACTAGAACACTTTTGGGTGCAGATTTTGGTTTTTGGAAGTGTTTTGGCTATTCATCCTTGTCCAACAATTAACCGTATCCTCTCGTTACCGTACAGAATTCATTTCTCACCGCACGTGTTGATTCGATAAAGAAATTGATCATTTTGGTGGAGCAACAGAACAGAAGTACAAATTTTAAAGCGTCGATTTCTTAGAGCTTCGGTTTATTCCTGCGGTATCAACTTTTCGAGCTTCTTTGCTTTACCAATTAGCCCCAGATGGCAAACACTGAGTGGTCAACACTAAGCTCGTCCGCAATTTCCCGTGTTGTGTTACTTGAATTTTATTCAATCAACATTTTGAGTTTGTCGTCGACCACAACGGAAGACCTACTACGACCTTCCTCTTTTCGAAATCAAAATCTCCAAAACGAAATCCCTGAAAAAACGCTGCAACGTGTATTTGCTTATTGCCGCACTTCACTCAAGTCTAAATTCATACAAACAAATTTGATGAAAATATAGTTTGGACATATTTTATTTCCTAACAGTGTTCAGTATGTGGGCCATAATTTTTCCCGGTCGGCATCATCGCCCAAGAAAGGAAGTCGCAGATTTTCAAAATAGATGAGTGATTACCGACACCAAACTCCATTAAATTTGTGCGTGAAGCGTGCATAAAACTCTCTCTAAAGGATGAGGGTTTCACCCGCAGAGATTATCTCTTGGAATTAGGTCCACAAAGATATCCTGATGGGGGACTCGCTTTACGATAGTTTTGTATTGACTTTAGGACAATTTGTTTTAGAGTTACTGAACTTTTCTTAAATGGAAACAAGATAAAAGCAGTTTTGATAATTCCTGTTAAGAGGTAATTATAAAAATATACTGGGATTGCCATAGACAAAACTACAACAAAAGAACAACTCAAACCAACAACACAACTTACCCAAATGACACAAATTCAATAATTCACTTGCCTAAATAATAAATCAGACCTTTTGAAAAATTTACATATGTGACGAATATTTTTTATGTTAGAAGGAGGGACAAAATGTGAGATGCGGTCTGGTGTGACGTAGTTTTAGAAAAACATTTTCTTTGTCGTGCCAACATTTCGATCTTTATTGAGATCATCTTCAGGGCTCAAAGTGTTTGTTTTCCGTGTAGATGTGTCATTCTTTTGTGTCGAGTTGAGACTGCCCAACATCTCATGATCTCCGAATAATCATTGACTAACGGTCACTAAACACCTCACATTTCTTATTATTAATGAAAACTGAAATTTAGCTTTTTTTTAATTTCCAAACAAAACTATTTTCAATAATTACAGAGAAAGTTAGAGAAAGCACATACAATTTTTTAAGACTACCGACATGGGGTACTCGATATTCCGCCATCAGTCCTCTCACTTACAAACAAACATATATATACATATATACAACTGTAGAGCTATAGAGTTATTGAGTATATAATTATTAAATTCACTATTAAATTCACTATTTTTCATGGTCCGCTTGACCAATTAATATCATTCAATTAATTAAGGTTTTTAGTTGAAATAAAAAAGTCAGTGTCACGAGCGGGATTCGAACCCACGATTTTCGGCTACATACACCGCTGCTCTACCACTTGAGCTATCGTGACCTCGATCCAGTCGGGCACTAACCTCCCATCTAATTAATTGAAAGGTATTAATTGGTCAAGTGGACCACGAAAACTAGTGAATTTAATAAGTTAAAATGAAGTATACTTCACTAAAAGTTCTCCGTGGCCATTTCATTTGTCGCCGAGGATCAAATAGATTACACATTTGAAAAATGGCAATAAGGAGGGAAAATTAAAAAAGGTGGGTTTGAGATGGGAAGTTGGCGTCCGAATGGATCGAGGTCACCATAGCTCAAGTGGTAGAGCAGCGGCGTATCTAGCCAAAGGTCGTGGGTTCGAATGCCGCTCGTGACGCTATATAATTATTATTAAAGTAAATTTACTATATTTACAAATAGGAAAACGCCCCTTTCCTTTAAAAATCTAAACAGGGGACCAAGATAGGAATTTTAATAGTTCAATTTAACGGGATATCAGATTTCCTCCCTTGGTTTCGTGGGATAATGTTTATTTTTTGGCGTGGATGTTTGATTACCCCTGACCAACGAATTGTGTTATTTTAATTGAAATATTATTAAACTTTTTTCGAGAAAAATTATTTCTCCATCTTCCAGATAATCTCGCGTTGTTGGTATTACCTAGGAGGCACCTCAGAGTGGTCGATTGAATCTCCTCTCAAATATTGTTTGACGAACGATCGCGTCGACATTTGCTCAAACTTGGTCAATATTTGAAAGAAGGTATTATCCACCACTTATGGAAATATTTTAGTTTGTTCTATATAGTTTAATTATTTTATTGTAACGGTTTTTGTTTTAATCAATTTTTTTTAAACAAGACAACAAAGTAAGGCTTCAGGTTTGGGCAACAAAAACATTTTACGCTCTCGCCATTTAGTGTACATAAATCTTCACTTTTCTCTTCAGCAAGGAGGAATAAGTTGAAATGTCATCAACGACTAAGTGCATCTGACAAGTTTCCACAGTAGAATTAGCCTCGACTGGTTTATTCAAGAGTAAGTGGAATTTTGTTTCATTTCCACCTATTTGGAACTTCTCAATCGTACTTATCAAGTCGGATGTAAAGACTAAAGACTTAGCATCTTATTACAAATAAAAAAATAAACATAAACAAATTGTTATTACAACTTAAGTCGTTATAAGAATGCTAGAGTATAAGGATCATTTGGATCAATAATAACAAAACCTTATCACAATTAAACAATTGTTAAAATGAGCAATTTCAGCAAGGTAACATGTACAAGCAACAAACATCAGCAAATTGGTAAAAACTGAAATACAACTAAACTAGAAATTCATTAGACGTGATGAGCGATCAAGAATAAGGTAGTTTAAAAACACCTTTTTCATTTTTTTGCTGATGTTTCGAAGTTTATTCTGGTCATCTTCAGGGCATTAAATGTGGTATTATTCTTGTGGCGTCATATGGTTTTGTGTGAAAGTGTTGGGGATAAAATTCGTGACAACGCTTTCACCCAAATCCAATATGACACCACAATAATAGCACCACACTTTATGCCCTGAAGATGACTCGAATAAAGGTCGAAACGTCGGCAAAAAAAGGTGTTCTTCTAAATTACCTCATTCTTGACTTCTCCTCACGACTTCAACAAATATTGTAAATATTCGTAAGGATAGACACAAGAAAAATAAAATTGTTTTAAATGATTTTGACGAATTTTTGTATGTAATTTTTATTTTTCGATGGATTCATGTTCGAATTTAATTCAATATACTTCAAGTTAAAAACATACAAAACCTTGAATACTTTCACGTTTTTCTTGGCTTTCTTTTTTTTAAATTAAAAACTATGACAAAAAATTTCGGTATTGATTGACCGTAATTACTCAACATCTTTTATGTAAATATGTAAAACGCTGGCACAAGCGCTAAATATGCAGGTGTTTTTTTCCTCGGCAAATAGTGCAATAATAAACTAGAAATTCATTAGACTGCTCTTGCTCAACTGCAACTAAACCGTGATGTTTATTCAGTGCTTATATTCACTTAACAACTTTCAAACTGAAACAATCGCCCTTTTTCCCTTGGTATGATATTCTAACCAAATGCGGACGGTTATGGTGTCTAATCGTGGTTTCTGTAACATTTGAGAAAACTTCCTATTGCGGATCAAGTAACCGCACAGCCGTGTAAGACGGTACATAACCATGTTGCCATGCTTATGCTCAAATTTATCCAGGGGAGTAAAGTTATTTTACGGGCTAATTATCTTTCTCGGTCTTATGTATACTCCTGTGTTCAAAACAGAACAACGATGAGGAAACCTGTTGATGATGTTGATGTAGAAGTGAGTTTTCCACGTATCGTTAACTTCTTACCGTTTCAACGAAATATCCATGTACATTTTATATTGTATATGTTTACGGGAAATACTAGCAGTAACAACTGAATTTGTTCTTTTCTTCAAGACCATACCTTCATCGAGAGTGTTCAGGGGTGAAAAAATTGTCGATACTTCTAACATTGTATGTACAATGTATGTGTCGAGATTGTTAAATAGACGACAAAAAAAAAGTCAAATACAATGTTGCAAGAGTGATTTTAGTTTGTTTATCAGTCATAACTGACAATTTTTCCATCAATTCGTATAGTTATTCAGCGAGATTTTACAATATTTTTATGTATAAATAGGACATATATCTAGCTGATAGATTTCACATAATTAATAGTTTTAAAATGGAAATTAAAAAATTTTATCATAACTTAAAAGTTAGTTTAGAATTTTAATTAGCTGTTAGCCAGTGTTTAGAATATTAAATTAAATCGTTTTTAGGTCCGAGATGAAGAACTTTTTCTCCACGCACCAAATATTTTCATTGTTATAACAAATTTTGAAAAATTTCTAGATTGCAGCGTTTTGTAGAGTATACAGTGATTTTAGTACTAGAAAATTTTATTACAAATAATTCTATCAATTGTTTTAATATATTCTAGATTTTACTTTATTAGAGTTAGTTCCATATGTACAAATGTTATATTTTTTCAACCCACATGAAAATCCTTCTATGTGCCTATCTTACACCACCACCGCCTTTTCAATCCTTCTCTCGCCTTTGCTGTACAGCAACTTCCTTGCTTTTGGCCTATTTTTTCTACCCGGGACCAGCTCCCGGAAGAATGCCACGGCAAAATCTGATTCCCATTGTCCGGTCGCAGTGTCTGGCCAGTTCCAAAACAGGCTGGAAACTGCGCCGGCCGCCTTTCACCCATGTGATTCTTGAGCAACTAATGTGCTTCTTTAATAATTTTTGATATGCTTTAGCCTGGGGAGATGGAAGAGGTAAGGAGGCATGCAACAGTCTGCTTTAGCGTTTTCTCGTTTTTACACTAATTGGCCCACAATTAATTTGGACGCACTGCACTTTTTTGGCACGCTTACTAACATTTAGTGATTATTTTAGTTTGTTTTTTATTTGTAGTTATCATATATAATGTAATGTTTCTTTTATTTTGGTTTTCAAAAACTTTTAGCAGATGAGACAGCCAATATTTGTGCAAACCACGAAAAAAGACTATTCCCACATAAATCAGTTGGCGTTAACATCGAGGTGGCCAAAATCTAATGTAACAACAGGTTTGTCTTGTTTTTACACGTCTTGACATAAAAAATCAAAGTGTCTTTCAATACCTTTATTACATCTGGTCAGTATTTGATACATTCCAATTAAAATACGTTATTATTTGTTAATAGAGAGGAAACCAATTCTTCAAATTCAAACATATTAAACAGAAGGATTCTAGCACATACAGCGTTTTCATGAAACTACACTTTTGAAATACTGCGACGTAAGATATTCTATCAACATTAGATATTTTCAAACAGTTTACAAAATGGCCTTTGATGGATAATATTTTCTTGGTTTTGTTCATCCATCCTTCCTTTCATCCAATCGTCACTGTAAATAAACAGCCTTTTATAGACTTTTATTTTTGGTTGTTAATATCAATTATACGATTTACTTTTAAAACCTTATTTCAATATTATATTGCCTATTATATAATTGATTATTATACCGGGTGTCCCCTGAAAAGAGGTCAATACTTGAAGAGCCTACATAACAAATTGAACTAAAATGTTTCTATCGTGAAAAGTCTGATTTTTAATTGTATTCGAGATATCTACTTTCTCAGTTACTTCAACTTTCAATTCACTAGTTTCCGTAGTGCGCTTGACCAATTAATATCTTTCAATTAATTAAGGTTTTTAATTGAGATAAAAAAATCAGTTCACGAGCGGGATTCGAACCCACAACCTTCGGCTAGATAATCCGCTACTCTACCACTTGAGCTAGCAATATAAATTAAATTAGATTTTATCTCAACTAAAAACCTTAATTAATTGAAAGATTGGTCAAGCGGACCACGAAAACTAGTGAAGTTAATAATTTTAAATGAAGTGCACCTTCACTAAAGCTCTCCGTGGCCATTTTATTTGCCGCCGAGAATCAAATAGATTACACGACATTTGAAAAATGGCAAAAAGGAGGGAAAATTCAAAAGGTGGGGTTGAGATGGGAAGTTAGCGTCCGAGTGGATCGACGTCACGATAGCTCAAGTGGTAGAGCAGCGGCGTATCTAACCGAAGATCGTGGGTTCGAATCCGCTCGTGACACTGACTTTTTTATCCCAACTAAAAACCTTAATTAATTGAAAGATTTATTGCACATATTATGATAATCCTATAGTAAATTGTATTACACCAATTGCAAGTGTTTAAAACCCTATGATATTTATTACATTTTTTTATTGTTTAATTAAACAAACAAAGAATAAAATCACTTAGAAGATAAATTGTTACAAATTCCCAAAGTTCTTGTATAAAGGTTAAGATATGTTTTCGTGGTTCTGTAAATACTGGCAGTTATGAAGCTTGCAGAAAAGGGGCCGCTGCTAATGAGCTGTAAACAAATGTGCTTAATTATGGTCATTATCATTAATGTAAAATTAACGGTTAATTGCTAAAAAATTGATTTTCTGTTATGACCGGTTAAAAATATGAGAGTAATACAAAGTAAACAAACAAGTTTCGTCAATACAAAATTTAACAAAGTGGTCATTAAGAAAGGCTTTTTTTTAAATTATATTTTCCAGCTTGACATTGATTTGTGCCAGATTTTATTGTTCTCAGGCTTTTTGTTCTAACATTCTATTTCCTACCAAAAAGTCTTTTTTGTTTACTTTGCACTACTACTATTATTTCTAATAGAAGTTTCAAAATTTTAAGGAATATTTTTTTACAGTTGTAACAAAATCAAAATTTTAGCAAACGTTAATTTTACATTTTTCAATTAATTAATATTTATGAAAGGGATTGGTTAAGATAAAAAATCAGCGTCACGAGCGAGATTCGAACCCACGACCTTCGGCTAAATACTCCACTTCTATACCACTTGAGCTATCGTGACTTCGAAAAATGGCAAAAAGGAGGGAAAATTCGAGAGATGGGGTTGAGATGGGAAGTTATTGTCCGAGCGGATCGAATTCACGATAACTCAAGTGGGAGAGTAGCGGCGTATTTAGCCGAAGGTAGTGGGTTCGAATCACGCTCGTGACGCTGACTTTTTGATCTTAACCAATACCATTCATAAATATTAATTAATTGAAAAATGTTAATTGTTCAATCGTACCACGAACTATAATGGGTTAATAACCTTTGAAATATTTGGTACATTTATTTAATGCTCATTAGTAGGAGCAACTTTTTTTGACAGCTCCATATTTCAGTGTTTACAGAATCAAGTATATCCTATTGTAATTTTACGCAAGAATTTTACAAACTCGTAAATGTTCTAAGTGATTTTGTATTGTGTTTTCTTGAGGTTCTAACGAAATAAATGGATCTCATAGGGTTTTGAAAATTATTGCCTTTGGTGTAATCAAATTTACAGTTGGTTTAATGTTTCATGAGATTAGAAGGACTGTACGGAAAAGTTGTGAAAGGTTGAAGAAACCAGAAAATTAAAAATCAGACTTTTGGCAATTGGAACAAAAAAAAATTGGTCTGTCCCTTTTCCCTCCAGATTTCTTAGTGTTTGTTTCTTAACGCCAAGAACATCCGGCAAACTTCCTAATACCTTCTTTCTATTTTGTTTGCGGCCTTCCTCTTTTACTGTTCTTAACAAGTGGTGACTAGTTGGTAGCCTTTTTTGTTCATTTTCACTCTGAAAATTGGATGACGTACCGAGTCCAATTTCAGTTCATAGATTTTATTTTATTTTTACCCTTTAACTTTTGTTTTTGCCCTAATAATGCTGTTCTTTTTATGTACAACATAGCACGTTCCGTTAGTCGTTGAATGGTCGCTATTCTGCCTAAATGTTTCGGGGCTATCTGTTCGTTTTTGTGTTTTGTATTTTTTTCTCCAAAATTTCTGCCAGGCTAATAAAAATTTTCTCAATGTTTTCCTTTTCGTTTTTTCAGCCAAGATCAACAGTTGTCACAAATAAAAATTTTTTCGACGTATTTTAGTTCTTTACCGAGGAGCTTTGCTCATTCTTTTCTTTCATTCCTCATTACAACCGTCTTAATATCGCTTATTTTTAGTCCTGCTTTTTTTACTTTCCTTATTCAGGCGATAGGATTATATCAGTAGGCATTAATGTTTCCAGCATTAGAAGTATCGATCACTTTTCACCTCATGAACTCTCTGAATCAAGGTATGGTCTTGAAGAAGACAGTAAATTCAGTTGTTACTGCCGAGTTTCCGACCTATTTTAAGGTCAGCAACCTTTCAGATACAGTCTAGGCAATGTTGGGACTGAGTCAGTTTTCAAGAAAAATGGAGATCCCCTGTAAAAAAATCTTAAATATGTCAGTGTGTGCATATTTAAGATGCCCTCATGATGACCTTAAAATAAGTCGAATGCTCGGCAGTAACAACTGAATTTAATGTCTTCTTCAAGACCATACCTTGATCCAGAGTGTTCTTGAAACTTAAATGTGTGGCTTGGCGTGTTTTCCCACTTATATGATCGGAAGACCTCTCGCAATTCCAATTTTTTTAACAGTGTCTGGGAGAAAGAAGACCTCCCTGTGTTAGCCTTTTGAACTATTCTCCTACTGATTCCAATTTTATTCTTGCTCTGGTATCATATAATTCATTTGTAATTGTGATGTAATTAAAATGGACTTCTTGGCTTTCTAGGGCAGAATTGGTGTTAACCAAATGATTCAAATATCTATTCATAGTCGTCACACGCCATATATACAACACTTTGATTTTTCGATTACATACCTGATTTACAATATAAATATGGTCCTTCGCTAAGAACCCATCAGGAAAACTAGGTTGTTTTTATTTTTTAGCTTGACCAACAATATTCCACAGTTGGAGACAGCCAAAAACACACTTTGCTAAAAAGCTGTTTTATTAGTTAAAACAGTATCGATTTCGAGGTTAGGTAGCTTGTTTTTGTGGTTATTTACTTTCTCGATTTTCTTTAATTCCTTTAATAATTGTATTTTTAAGAAAATGCTCCTCGAAGTTGGAACTTTAGTGGTTTGTAATTGTTGATATCACTTGGCACCCTTTTTTTATGTAAAAAGGATCTCTCATTTTCCAAGAGAGTAGTATCGTCAATATTAGTTTATAATTATTCGTAAAATAAGATGAACTTAAACAATACCTGATGATAGCTTGCAAATAACTTTTTAAAAAGTAAAATTTGAGTTTTCTATATTCATACCCGTTCAACATGGATTATAAAATATGTCAATATGTGAGATTTTCTGAGTTTACGGGTAAATTCTGAAAAAATTAATCTCTCATAGAGCGGCATAACTTTCACGTTAGGCATATGTATAGCATCGTTCAGGGAGCGCCCCTGGGCTAGATAAGACCTTCTTGGTAAACCCACATCGGGGGTTATTTTGAATTGGAATCCAACCCTAGGAGGAAATACATTCGTGGCGTGTGAAAATCGGCCAAAAAAATTTAATTTTTACCTGAATATAAAATTCGTAATTGTTAATGAAACAAAGTTATTCTAGACGAGGGTTTTTTTTCTAACATGAAATACACGTTCATTCTCGATATACACAAAGGAAGACAACACGGGATATCTACGCTAGCCTCGTTCTCCCGAAAAATCGGGTCAGGAGACCCAGATACTCGGTGCCGTGCTGAAGGACAAATCTCATATCGGTGACATGCCTACGCGCTCTCTATAAGGAGCCAAGGACATCCATCACGTTGGACATATAGAGCAAACGTTTTCTATATTCCGGGCACATACATCGGTTTTGACCCAAAAGTAAGTGTATGGGTGTCTACCTGGCAAA